GGTTGAAATACGTTCCGAAGATGTAAAGCAAATGTATAGGTTCCGTCTTTTTCGCTTCGGGCCCAGCTGCCTGCACAGTTTTTTTTATATAGGTGACTGTTTCGGCCGGGGCGCTAAGATTTGGGTCAGCTTTCCACAAGTAAAACTTTATACAGGTTGGCAAAAGTTTTTCAATGTACCGGCTTTGTGCTTTTTCTTCTTCCTGCTTAAGAGTCTTGGTGAGTTTGCTAGTAGCCTCCTTAAGACATTTCTTGAATGTTGGAGATCTGCAAGCTTTTCAATTTAAAGATTTGTTTTTTATCAGTTGGTCTGCACATCTTTCTCTTGTGGTGTAGAGGTTTTGGTTGCTGCGACGAGTACGGACTACAGTGCTCGGAACAGCAGTCGATGTCCTCCTTGATGTTGAGCTGCGGGGTAAGTTCAATAAGTTAAGTTAATAAGTTCAACATACATAACTTTTGTATTTAAGCCAGTTGGTTCTGTGCGACTTCAGCCTGTGGGGTGCTCGATTCTTCTCGGGCTTTGGAGAAGAGTCAATAGGACTGGTGAGAAGTCTGATTAAAAAACTGGGAGCGATTTCGCACTTATCAGATTGCGAGAAATATTTTTTGTCATAGCAATTTCAATTAAATCTGGAAGCTTTCTAGGTTCTGCTGGCCAGTATGTAGGAGTGCCTGGTAAAGCGTAGTCCAGTTTGTTGCATGTTTTGATGATTGCGTTATATAGTTGACTTCTTTTGGGTGTCACCAGACAAAATCCCTATTGCGAATGCTTGCCATTCTCTTGCTGCTATGAAGATATCTCCAAGTGCAATGTAGAAGTCAATGAATCGGCCTTGAGAGATTTTGCTTTATCGATGTTGCTTTATCGATGTTGCTTGCAAATAATTTTGTGCAAACCTTTGGTGCCGTAGGTGGTGATTGAAGGGCCAACGAGGAGCTGGCTGCTCTGCCGATCTTAAGCGATCTCCAAAGAAAGCGTCAATTAAAAATAATCCATACCATGTAATAAAGACATTATAATATGATCCCATAGTTGTAACATGCTCATAAAAGTCTGTGTCAAAAAATTCTATTTTCAAGGGCTTAAAAATTGGAAAAGAGTAAATAGATCTCTTAATATTACAGACATAACCATATTATTTATTAAGCGTTAACAAAAATTTTTTTGAAAGATAAATTATCTCAATTACTTAATATCTCTTCTAGGAGTTTATGGTACCGATGGATCTCTTGTTAAATGAATCTTTATGGCAAAATGATGTTCAAGAAAACGCAAAGTATTTCTTTGCAATTGGAGATCGTGGAATTAATAGTCAGTCGTCTACTTCCGGAATCACAAATAATGGAGTTATGTTTTTTACACAAGTTCATCAAGATAACATTGGATGCTGGGACACAACGAAACCATACACTCGAGCCAATTTGGGAAATCTTCTTAATTTGGAGAACGACTCGAACCTAATCCAGTTTCCCAATGACTTAAAAGTAGACAACAGAGAAGATCAAAGTGTGTGGATAATGAGTAACCGACTGCCAATTTTCCTATATAGCAAACTGGACTATGGAGAAGTAAATTTTCGAATATTAAAGGCGGATGTAAATAAGATTATTCGTAACAGTATTTGTGATCCGGGCAATAGGTACGTTAATGGATCTAAATCAGCTTTTGTGTTAATTGAAGAAGGTCAATGCTATTAAAAAAACTAACAAAATGGTTAATAAAGTTTTGACTTCCCGAAAAAATACCTATGTATCGACACCCTAAAGATACAAAATATCTAAATATATTTCAGTTCCAAAATTTGTCCACAAATAAATTTCATTCAAATAACTTTTATTATGCCCGTTATTTGTGGTCTAAAAGGGTTTATTATATTTGTTGAAATCAGTTGATTTAACCAAGTTTTTCTGTCTGTCCGTATTTCGAAAGACTTGGGAAACTATAAAAGCTAGAGATTTGGGATTTGAGAATCAGGTTTAAAACATGTATACGCAGCGCAAGCTTATTAAAAAATTTGTCCGCCCACTTCAATGCTAACAACAAATCGAAAAACTATTTAGAGACATTGTAGTATAACATTAGTTTGGTCTGTATCATCAAAACAACTTGATAAACGGAACAATTATTTTAGAAATTATAAACAAAATTAATATTAAAAGATTTTAACTATGTTTAGCACTGCTGCTGCGGGTAAACGTTAAGTCCTACCTCTTCTCCTGCAATGAAATGCGCTTTTTAACAGTGTAACCGAATCTTAAGGACAAACACGGAAGATCTTATAAGCAGTGTTGGAAATCTCTAGAGGGCGTGTCTGAGTGTGTGATTCGTGTCTGTGTGTATTGTAATATTGTCGATTTTCTTTAATCAGGAGAGTCACAAGAACAAATCATGAAAATTGAAATTCGTTAACTGAGTATTGGATATTTCACAGTCGGGACTCTACTCGACTATAGCGTTCCAACTTGCTTTTTTTATGTTCCAGCTGACTTCTTAAAAAAAATGGTGCGAAATTAACTAGCAAGGAGAGATCGCAAAAGAAAAGAATTCTATGAGCAATTGAAAACATTTTTTTTAAAGTTCAAAAGTTCGTATTCCCTTGCAGCTATTTCAAAAACTAAATACTCTTTAAAACGTTCAAATTATGATTTACTTGCGTGTATGTTTAAAAACATTGAAATACAAAAAAAATTATAACTTTGCTGTTTTTTAATTTTTTTATTAGTTCTTCGAATATAGTAATGGTTAAATATTTCAGAATTACGGCTTAAATTTCATCAAAATCGGACGACTATATTATATAGCTCCCATAGAAATAACATAAATATATAAAATAACTATTTAACTATTTAATTCTTGCAATAGCTGCAAGGGTATATGAACTTCGGCTTGCCGAAGTTCGCTTCCTTTCTTGTTAAATTTTTTTTTAGTTCTTCGACATAAAGTATTGTTTAAATATTTCAAAAATACGGTTTAAATTTCATCAAACTCGGACGAGTATAACAAAAAGTTCCCATAAAAACAATAAAAATAATAATAAAAAAAATATTTTTTTTAATTAAACCTTTTTATTTTGTTAATTTTTTTTTGGAAATTATTTTTGATTAATTATTAATTTGACAGTTCAGTTTTAATTTAATTAAAATCGGAAAACGATATCTTATAGCTAACTGAACTATCAAATAATTGGGCTGCAAATCATCATAGCCTCAATGTAAACATACACGCAAGTCAATCATAATTTTAATGTTTCCAATAATGTTTAATTTTTGCAATAGCTGCAAAGGTATATGAACTTCGGCTTGCCGAAGTTTGCTTCCTTTTTTGTTTTTTTTTAATTCTTTTTGACTTATTAACAATTTGACAGTTCAGAATTACACTTTTAATTCTATTAAAATCGAAAAACGATATCGTATAGCTGTCATAGAAACTATCGATTAATTGAGCTGCAAATCATCATAGCTTTTATGATTTTAAACATATACACAAGTAAGTCATAAGTTTGATCTTTTCAAGAATATTTAATTTTTAAAATAGCTGCAAGGGTATATTAACTTTGGCTTGCCGAAGTTTTCTTCCTTTCTTGTCTAAATGTAATAAGTTAAGTAGTAAAATCAGTATGCTTCTTATTAACGTGATTTGTTGCAGCAGCAAATAAATTTGTGATTATATTTTTAAAGTCTGTTTTCGATTACAATTTGGGAAATGCACCAGGCGTGGTTGTAGCGCACATTTATGGTTTTTAAGAATCTAAAACAAAAACAAGAAAGAACGCTATAGTCTAGTTTGCCGACTGTTAGACACCTGTTACACAGCTAACAAATTTTAAACAAAATATTCCCCCACAAAACAATCGGAACCTAGGTGGCGCCATCTGTCAAACTGCATAGCCAACACTAGGAGCTAAAACGCGCAACACCCCTAACAGTTATTTCGTTCTCTCTTTCAGTCTCCCTCTCATTTGCTACCACCGGCAGAGCAGCGGCCGATCAGTGACTGAGCATTGGCAGAGGGGCGGCAGAACGGTGGCAGAGGACATTAAGGGGTATATACAGTACTTAAAAAAATTTTATTTTATTTAAAAATACTGACTGAAAATTTCATATCGTTCCGGTGAATATTTTCCAAGCTTGCAAGTATAAGTACAAACTTTAAACGCGTTTTACTTAAAATGGCGTTTTCAAAGTCGGTGATCAACATTACTCAGAAACGGCTAAACCGATTAGTGTCAAATTTTTAGTAATTAATAATACAGTTAAAATATAACATATTACGTGTACAAAATTTCAGTTAATTAAATTTAAAAGCTTTCTCAGAAAAAAATTTAAAAAATTCTTTTTTTTCGGCCTTCTAACTGTATATAACCCCATAATAATTTTTAAAATAATAGCTCTATTGAAAATTTTTGTGTCTACCGGTAGATCTCAAACATAAATTGATCGATCATTTTTTCAGTACAAGTGCGTAAATAAAATGTTAAAGATATAAGTAGTCAGTTAATACCGTTGGTGAAATAAATAAATAAATAAAAAAAATAAATGTAATATAATAATAACAGTAACAGCTATTGCAAAAATTAAATATTCTTCTGCACTGTCAAATTATTAATAAGTCAAAGAAAATTAAAAAAAAAAGTTGAATTTGTTTTTTATTTGTTCCCGTGGGAGCTTTATGTTAAATTCGTCCGATTTTAATGAAATTTAAACTGTAATTCTTAAATATTGAACCGTAGATATATGTCGAAGGACCAAAAAAAATATTAAAAAACAGCAGACTTTTTTTTCATTTATTTTTCCGATAGAAACTTGCGTAGAAACGGACGGACAGACGGACATGGCTAGATCAACTCTCCAATTGATGCTGATCAAGAATATATATACTTTATGGGGTCGGAGATGTCTCCTTCACTGCGTTGCAAACTTCTGACTGAAATTATAATACCCTCTGCAAGGGTATAAAAATCGTCATATATGTAGATCATAGTGCAGAAAGTTTTTGAATCACATTAAAAAGCATATTCAAATCCTCAGCGGATATTTTATTTTTAATTTCCATGACAACCGTTAAATTGATTTTCTAGATCTGACATAATTTAAACATGTTTTAGAACCAACAAAAATGATGTAAACATATAATGTTATTCGAAATTTAGATGTTTTAAAGAGTATTTAATTTTTACAAACTTCGGCTTGCCGGAGTTGGCTTCCTTTCTTGTTTATTTCCGATTTGATCGGTTTGAAACTCAATTTATCGCAAAGTTGTTTAAAACCATTAAGTTCTTTGCGAACCTAATTCCGGCATCCGAAAGTATGTATGTATGTACATATGTATTTTATGTGAAGTGCAGCGTCACTGGGAGAAAAGATTCCGTGATAATGGTTCAGTTTTGAAGACTGGAACAGGTCTGGAAAATAAGATCCTGAGAATTAAAATCTGGCTCTGGGCGCAATAACACTCGCTGTTTTACGAAGGCGGAAATCACTCCGTTTCCTATCTCAATATTGTTTTAAATTGCCCATTAATAGCGTTCCCCGTCCTCAAAATGACCCACCCTACTGTTGGGGAACTCCTTTTCCTGGTCAAAGCACATTTTTTGCTGCGCCTACCGCAACCATGAGTGTTTAGTATTTAAGTATGTATGTATGTATATAAGACGTGAAGAATATGTCTTTGTTTGCCGTATGTACACATGCATACTTATGTATGCTTGTAAGACTTGCCTAGGGGCCCACATGCTGTTTCAATCCGAAATACTCTTTGTTCTAAAATTGTATATTCGCCTTCATATGTGCGTACATATGTGCCTAAGTGACTGAGATAATTCCAGATAGCGTATGCACACGACATTCGTTATTTTTTCACTCATTGCCAGGCCTGCTTATTTGTTGCTCCTTTTGTTTTTTGGACGTACTATGTTTTTTAAATTATGTGGAATTATGTGCTTATTGATCGTTGGACACCATGTGGCAGCCACATCGGCCAGTGGTAAGTATAACGAATATCTATACATTAACGCCTATGTACAGTGTGAAGCGAGCAGAAACTTTTTAATTTCATCCTCTGTACATGTGCATACATACATATGTATGTATGTACGTATGTGATATTAGCAGTTATTGAATGCATCAGCACAGCCGTGTTCAAAATAATAATAGTGAGCTTATCATAGCTAAAAAAAAATAATTTTCGTCCAAAAGATCATTATTACTTATTACAACGGGCACGATAAGGAAAAATAAGATCATTTTGTTAAAATAATCTAATTTTTTCTGAATAAAAAACTGATCTTTGAAGACCTTCCTTGAAAGTACAATTTTAATAATTAAATTGTACAATAATAACGGTTTTTTGGTTCGTAAAGCAATATTAGCTCTGAAGATTTATGCGTATACATTTACAACAGCTATGTTGCAGCCACATATTGATCATATTAATAGGTACGCTTAGCACTTTTCTATAGAAAACCGTTTAACCTAATTTTTATTTGGCAATGAGTGGCTGAAACAAACAAATTTTTGGGGATAGTCTCTATACCTGAGCTTTTCTCACAATTGTTAGCTAAGTTCACATATCGCTTTATCAATTTAATTTAGCTAGCCGTTAAACTGGGAGGAGATTACTGGATTGCGTTGAATCAGGCAAGTGGACGACTATAGCTAGTGGTATTGACCAAGAAATGTTTCGGAAATGTTTTCATTTTATAAAAATCGGACTACTACTTGTTCACCATAAAGGTCGTGATATAAAGGTTTTTACGACTTCAAAAAAACTGCTTCTTTATTATTATAGAACTCCTTTTGGTTTTTATTTAATGGAAACCAACTTTTTAAATTTGTTCCACCTAAGCCTAAGCCTTGATTTTTTTAAAAGACAATTATTGTTTGTACAAGGAGAAGTGACATAATTTTAAAAGAATAAGTATTTATTTATGAATATTATTTCAAACCAAAAAGTGTCCAAATTGTTAAACTTTTTTACATAGCATAAAATAGCATTACTTTGTCTGTCTGTCCGTCAGACAATTTTTCCCTTGACTGTTTGTCAGTTTTAAAACATTTTGAGGACTTGTTAAGAATTCTAGAATAAATTTGTATGTGTTGGGCAGGTCGTTAGAAAAATGTTTTTTCTACGACCTCTTGAAAAACTAGTTTTTTTAAGCGGGAAATCGCTAAAAATAGCTAAACTTACTTCTAAACTAGTAAAGGGACAGACATGTGATGTACATACATATGTCATTAAAAAGGTATTGTCAAATGCTTATCACGATACCTTAACATAATTGGTCTAAATAAAATAGTTCAAAATTTATTAATATTTAATAAATATATTTTATTTTATCTTATCTTATTATATCTTTTTAACTTTTCACTTTATTGCTTGAGATTCCTCAAACATTTTTGTTTGAATGTTTTGCAACAAAAATTGCAACTTTTTTTAGTTTAGAGCAGTTAAAGCTGCCCTGACAAGAATTTCATCCTAAAAGTAAGCACCATCGATTTGTTGAGCAAAATATTATAAAACAATGGTTTCAGGTTAAAGGTAAAAACGTTCTCACTAGTTATTTGTAAAATATACTATTACTAATTTAAGCAAACTAATATAATACTTTGCAAAAAAGTGAGCAAGATGTAGGCAATTAACTTAAAAGTTACGAAATGAAGTGTTCTATTGGGAGCCAAAGAACTTTCTCGTTAATTTTTATATCCTTACAAATGGAACTATAATTTCAGTCAGCATCACTAGGAAAGTCGATATAGCCATATCCGTCTGTTTGTCCACTCGTCCCTAAACAAACTAAACTATTAGTTTTAAAGCTATTAGTAGGAGATCGGGCAAATATATGAAAAAACAAGAAAGGAAGCAAAATACGGCCAGCTGGAGTTTATATACCCTTGCAGCTATTGAAAAAATTAAATATTCTTCAAAACATTAAAATTATCATTTACTTGCGTATATGTTTAAAAACATTAAAGCTATGATGATTTGCAGCTCAATTATTCGATAGTTCCTATGGCAGCTATGTATATGATATTAATAAAATTAAAAGCGTAATTCTGAACTGTCAAATTATTAGTAAGTCAAAAAGATTTTTTTAAGAAAATTACAAAATAGAAAAGTTACATTGAAAAAAAAAATTTTTTTATATATGTTTTTATTGTTTCTATGGGAGCTATATGATATACTCGTCCGATTTTGATGAAATTTTCATAGCAGATCTTTACTAAGGCAACATCAGGGAATGATCCAAGCTGCAGTGCTCCTTAAAAGTACATATGTTTAAAAGTATATCAAATTCATTTTCAGACGACATATCGGACTATATAAGAAAATGCTGCATACATGGGCTCCGGCATGCTCGTACAACCGCCTCGTGCACAAATATTAATATGGCTTCAACAATAATACCACAACTTTGGATCGGACTATGTCATTCTACACTTGATGTCTGCTGTTCTCGAGAACTTGATCATCAAAATTGTGTGCTAGGTCGACTTGCTGCTTTGGAAGGTACTCGCTGCGACAGAGGAGAAAATTTAACTTCAAATTCGTATGCAACATGTTGTCGATCTTGTCAAATTGGATTGGCGGTAAAAGCAAGTAATGTCAACTGCAAGGATCCCCTTTTTTCATTTCTTTCCTCAATCGAATCATACCAAGCTTGTTGCTACGAAGCCGCAGATTCAAATTTAAAACCTGATAAAGATACAAGTAATGAAAATTCTATTACCGAAGATGGCGAAAGCCTGTTTGACTCTGGAGAGGATATAAATGGTACAATTGTCCTAACCGGTGATGGTAAGTTTAAGCAGCATATCTTTTAAAACTTTGATTTAATTTAACACCCATCCTTAGACGACATATGTGGCAAAATTGAAAACCTTTGCGCCCACATATGCGAAAATACTTTCGACGCTTATCAGTGTAAATGCCGCCCCGGATTTACGTTAGATTATAACAACGTAACGTGCTCTCCGATGAACATCCCCATTTGTCCCAGTGGCTACATCCTAGACAAACTGGAAAACAAATGCATCGACATCGACGAGTGCAGGGAGAATGTTCATGAGTGCAAATTATCCCAATACTGCCACAATACGAATGGTGGCTACCACTGCTTAAATGTGAAAGCAAAGGATTGTCCACTTGGATATCACTATGATAGCGAATACGATAAATGTAAAGGTAAGTTTTATGTCGTACCGAGCTTTACAAAGAAATCTGTAAATAAATTAGTTTCACCCAACTGGGTGAAAACTGGGTAACAAATCACCAATAATTAGCAATTAACACCATTTCTTGTCAGGCTAGGTCATCCTAAGGACTCATAACTTTACCATTTTGGTTCCAACATCATTAGCAACAATATAGTCTAAAACAAATGCAATCCAATAGCTTAACAACATAAATATATGATTATAGCTCCATCTGGACGTAAATGATATTTTTATGCCATCTATTATTGTTTCAGTCAGCAGTTTGCAATGCAGACATTTCGACCCTAAAAAGTATATCTATTCTCTATCTACTTAAACAAGACTCTGAGTTTTAAACTTTCTCAAAAGTTGTCTTCCCATAGGAATAATTGGGAAAAAAACGAAAACAAATAATAACTTTGTTGTTTTGAATCTTTATTTGGTCCCTCGAAATATAGCGCCGGTATATTTTCATGGGATTACGGTTAAAATTTGTTTAAAATCGGACGACTATTTCATATAGCTACCGTGGAAACATTTGGAATTAAAAAAAAATTAATTAAAGAAATTGTAACTTAGAAAAGTTAATTAACCTTTTTTTTATACCCTTGCAGAGGGTATTATAATTTCAGTCAGAAGTTTGCAACGGAGACATCTCCGACCCTATAAAGTATATATATTCTTGATCAGCATCACTAGACGAGTCGATCTAGCCATGTCCGTCTGTCCGTCCGTCTGTCCGTCCGTTTCTACGCAAACTAGTCTCTCAGTCTTAGTATATAAGTCGGAACGAGCCGGATCGGACGACTATAGCATATAGCTCCCATAGGAACAATCGGAAAAATAAATGAAAAAAAATTATAACTTTGCTGTTTTAAAATTTTTTTTTAGTTCTTCGACATTTAGTATTGGTTAATTATTTCAGAATTACGGTTTAATTTTCATCAAAATCGGACGACTATATCATATAGTTCCCATAGGAACAATCGGAAAAAAATGAAAAAAAAAATAGAACTTAGCTGTTTTTTAATTTTTTTCTTAGTTCTTCGACATATAGTATTGGGTAATTATTTCAGAATTATGGTTAAAATTTTATCAAAATCGGACGACAATATCATATAGCTCCCATAGAAATAATAAAAATATATAAAATAACTATCAAATAATTGAGTTTCTAATCATCAAAGCTTCAATGTTTTTAAATATATACGCAAAAATGTTAAATTCTTGCAATAGCTGCAAGGGTATATGAACTTCGGCTTGCCGAAGTTTGCTTTCTTTCTTGTTTTGAATAATTTGTTCTCTCCCTTTCCACAAATTTTTTTTTAGTAGCCAGCCTACTTTCTCGAGCAATTCTGAACAGCCAATATCAATAATAACATCAAATCAGATATAAACATTATGGATACTATCTCTCTGCGCTCTACGAGTGAATAAGATGCACTAGGCGACACGAGTATGGTGGCAGGGATCTAAAAGTCTTAAGGGCAATAGAGCAACTTGAAATTGAATTCGCGGAGGGATTCCATATAAAGGAGGCATTCTCTGTTTTAGAGCGCACAAAAGCTGAGAATATGGCTAGCATGGTGTAGGGATCAGTGAACACCTCTGAGTTCTTTTAACAACCCCAAACATTCCCTACGTAGTCCGGTGAGCAGAAAAGATAAATTCAGCATCAAACCTAATCTCAAGGTCTAAGGATTTCTGTTCACTTTATAAGTGGCCGTCAATATAATACCTAGTAGTAAAGTTGTAAGTACATTTATTGTAACTTACGAAGTAGCAAAACGAAGTAGGTAAAACGAAGCAGTTTGCGCAGGCAACACATGCTCCTGGAATCTAAAGCTTGTTGGAGCAGGTGGGAATCAGATAAAGTCTTAATATTTCTGAATATTTTCAAGCCGGCTCTGAGGATAGAGTAGAAAAAATATCAAGGGATACCCAACTGAGACACCTTTGCGCTGTGGCAAACTTTATCGAACGCCTCGGTAAAATCCGTATAATCTTGTGAGCGACCATCAAACGCACTAATACAATAGTTGATAAAAACAGCCAAATTTGTCGTTGTCGAACGATCTGCTAAAAGCAGAAAAGAGAGTTTATGGGCAACTATGCACTCAAGAAGTTTGGCAATATTACCAATCTTATCTGGGAGCAAATCGTCCACTGGAAAGGGATTTTGTATAGAATTTTTAAGCACATAGGCTGGAACCCCCTCGCAGTCGGGATTATACGAATCATTGCAGTTCGGAATGGTTACGTGAATATCCTCATCTTCCTGTACTTAATGGGGGTGTTATTTTACTTTAAGTTGGGAATCATGCCCATGAAAGAAGAAGCAAAAAGATTTGAAATATCAATTTCAGAGTGTGCTGTTCAATTCCCAAAAGCCATAGCGGACGTAACTGCAGAGTTAGTTTACCTGGATCTAACGAACCGCCAGAAAGTGTTTGGGCTGTACGCGATCTGCCTATTTCAGTCTGTCTGATCATGCGAAGATAAGAACCGTTTGTAAAATTTATTTCAACGTTTTTGTAATTTTTTTTTTTTAAGAACTCTTCCCTTCTCTGAGCATTATTTTTTATGTTCACTAATAGAACATCAACAAATTTATCATAGCACTAGTCCAAATGCACTAGTATACGAGACGACAGGGACCCAATTAATAGAAAAAATAAAAATTCTGATGGCACTTCTCTGGTTGAATCTTTGCTCCTGACCGACGGGCAGTTAAATAATAAAGCGCATATCGATAGGAATCTTCAAATCCTATCTGAAAAATCGATAATTCATTAATCAATTATTACTAAATACTGTAATAAAAATCCTAAAAAATATGTTTACGGCGCCAACAATAGACATATTCGGATTTTAGATTTTGGGTGTTTCCTAAACTACTGAATGTCTAAAGTGCGGGAACAAACCCACGTTTTTCTGGACGGAATTATAATACAGCTGAACTGCTGATATTTCATCAAATCAATTTGTATGATTCAGCTGGCAAACAGATGATTAAATTTCACCAATTTTGGGATTCAGTCGTTTAGGGAATAGTCAAAAAATTACATAACATTTTTCAAATAAATAAAATTTATTTATAATTACATAATAATTTTCAATATACTTACAGATACGCTTCTCTCAGATGATAGCGAATGCAAAGATGACAGCTCTAAGTGTTTTACAGAAAAGAGTCAGTCATGTGAAAGTGGTTTTAGTTTAAAAAACGGAAGCTGTACTGACATTGACGAATGCAATAATAACACAACAAACAACTGTCTCAGTGATAATCATCAAGAATGCATTAACACCTTGGGCAGTTATTTATGCCAATGCCAAACTGGATTTAACTTGGATGCCACTCTGAAAAAGTGCGTTGGTAGGTTAGTTTTGACATTTATTTTGGAATTGCTAATTTTTGTTCACTTCCCCTAGACATCAATGAATGTTCGATAAACAACCACAACTGCCTTCCGACTCAGAGATGTGATAACACAATCGGATCATATATCTGCACGGTATATTTCAACATTGTTAAAAATGTTTCTTCTGTTACTAAGCATATTTCCTTATAGCGTCTTCAAAGCTGCGGCACGGGCTACACATTAAATGCGGAAACTGGAAATTGTGACGGTGAGCAACTTGGTTAAATTAATAACATAAATGTTAAGTTAAAGGAAATTGCGGATAAAAGAAATTTTATTTCCTATTGTCTAAAGCTCAAACAAGAAATAATCTTCGGCTTGCCGAAAAAGCAGAACGAGTCGTAGCTCCCGCGGTACGACTGCGAAGCACTGAGGGCCTGGGCTCTGGACTGTTCTGCTGCCACGATGACGCGATGACGTACGCTGCTTAATTTGACACCGTTCGAAATGCACAGCATATCCTGAGAGCCGACAGTCGGCTTATCCATAGCCTTCGCTGACGTTGTTCCTAGTTGTGTGCTTAGATACTGCGCAGAGACCCTGTGCAGACCACTTCAGTGTTATAAATAGCTTCAGAAACATCTTTTAGACTGACGTTGCTTACACTGATTAAGTAAAGCATTTGATTCCGTAAATCACTCTTTTCTTGAACGGAAAGTAAATTTATCAGGGTTTTCTATTGTCTTCTGACATGGAATTTGAGTTATCTGACATATGACATAAGACTTGACTATATCGCAGAATCGATTACTTATAGGGATTATAAAGGGAATGAATTCACTGATGCTTGTGACTGGATTCCTATTTATCAAAGCCCTTCAAAACCCCTTAATAAATGTGTTCAGCTTAAAAGAAAAGTGTTAAGACCTAAACAAAACCATTGGTTTAGTAACAAAATTAAGTGTCTAATATACGAACGCGATCAAGCCTTCCAGATGTGGAAGCGCTATAAAACAGAATCGCAAAGGATACAGTTTAAATTAGACAGAGCCAAAGTTTCCAAAACAATAAAAAATGCTTAGCGCGGTCACTTTAAAAATAAATTTGAAAACTCTGCCACCGCTAAACAAACTGGGAGGGAAATGAGTAACCTTGGAATAGGGAAATATAAGCAAACGAATGACCACTACGTTGGTGTTGAGGTACTTTGCCGAGCATCTTCACAACTTGAAGTACCTGAGGCTAGATGCAATAGTTACCTGACATATCAAACCTACTGTGATAATAGTTTTAGATTTGAGTGCGTCAATGAATGTGACTTAGACTGTATCCTTAAACTAAAATCGAATTCTGGAGGTTTAGACAATATTAGCCAGAAATTTCTTAAAATTGTGTTGCTGCTTCTTTTTCCATATATAAAAAAATATTTTTAACACATCCATTACTGCGTCAGTTTTTCCTTATAAATAAGTCCTTTTCTTGAACGGAACTCGTTGCTTTCACGAAAGCAGTCTGGCTTTAAAACAAAACGGAGATAAATAAGTGCAATAACAGGCATCGTTGAAAACATTCGCTGCCAACTGGACAATAATTGTGCAACATTCTTAGCTTGACCATGGCAAAGAATTTGAATCGGTGAACCACTATATTCTTAGTAGTAAGCTGAAAAATCGGTACACCTTTACAGATACTGCTGTGCATTTTATTTCTTCATATCTTGCTGGCAGACAACAAGCAGTTATATCTGGGAGTTATATGTCCAGCCTTAGATATTTAACTAGGGGAGTTCCACAGGGATCTGTCCTAGGACCCTATTTTTTCCATATATGTTAATAATTTGCCTAGTGTCTTGTCAGGGTGTGAAGTCCATTTATATGCAAAGTTTATGTTGAAGTTTATGTTAATTAAAATTGCATTAATCTAAATCAGAAAATAGTGAAACTTGTATTTAAGGCTTCGGACTTTGAAGTTCATTTTGCATTGTATTCAATAATAAACTTAACTTTTTATTTGATCAACATTTACTTTTTAGATGATGATGAATGCATACTGAATACTCATAACTGCCCCTTAAACTATGATTGCCACAACACGAAGGGGTCATTTCGATGCTATAGAAAAACCACGACAAGCTCAACCACTACAACGACGTCGACTACAGTTCCACCTGTAACTATAGAGTCTGCACCAAGGGAAAATATTTCTCGGTATCCAATGACAATACATCAGGATTTTCCTCGCTATGTTTCATCTGCCATATCCCGATTGGACTGTAATTCTGGATTTTATAGGAATAGTCTTGGAGCATGTGTCGGTAACTACACGAAATACAAGATAAGATCATTTTATATTCATACTTCAAAATATATTATTTTTAAAGTATTTTTATACCCGTTGCTCGTAGAGTAAAAGGGTATAATGTTTTTGTTGAAAAGTACGAAACAGGTAGAAGGAAGCGTTCCCGGCCCTACAAAGTGTGTTTATTATTGGTGAGGATCAATTGCCAAGTTAATACAGCCATGTCCGTTTGTCTTTTTGCCCGTCCGTATGAACGTCGAGGATACAGAAACTATAAAAGCCAGAGACTTCGGACTTTACGTGCAGGAATTGTTCCTACGCAGCGCAACTTTGTTCAAAAACAAGACCACGCCCACAAATTGCAAAACTCTGTCTTATCACACAGCTTAGCTTACACTCAGAAAACAACATTTGGGAATATATGACCTAAAACTAAGTTTAAGGCCATAATGGCCTTGGGTCTCGTTTTAGGTCATGATTTCCTAAAGTTTGTATAAAAAGCACAAATTTAAGGCAATTTTTTCTGAAGAAGTAGGCTTTAGTATGGAACGATTTATCTCCGCTGAAGAAACAACGTTTTGTCAAACATCAGGTGATGCTAGGTGATACAGTTGCCTTTTCATTCCGTAATTTGATTAAATCTATCTAAAAAGGCAACAATTCCATGAAATTTGGAGAATCTGAAAGGTTAGTCAGGCATTTGGAATTAACAGAAGGTTCAAAGTCCTATATTATCAATTGTAATGATTGATTACAAAGGTACACAGCCATAATAATTGGGGGTCTCTTATTTAAAGTCCCATACAAACTTATGTTTCATCAGCCAAGGGTTCCGCGTTATAGGTAAGAATACGAATATGCATGATATCTCCAAGTTAATCCAATTCAAGTGTTGGTTAAGCGTCCTACCGTCACAAGATTATGTTCTAGCTAATAAAAAATTAATAAAATCACAAATAGCTATATTCACTCACCTGGTGATGCTGATCAAGAATATTTATACTTTATAGGGACGGAAATGTCTCCTTTACTATGTTGCAAAGCTTTCACTGAAATTATAATCCCCTCTTGTTTATATCCAGTTTTGCTAAATCGATCTCGGTCATCTATACTAGCAGAAATACATACGTTTTTAAGCTTTACAAAACTTGTGTTAAGAATTTTTTTCGGCGTAGAGATGCTACGGTTTGACAGAAATTGCACTTTCGTTATACGTCCTAGAATCCATTTTGATGGAGGTAAATTTGGTTCCTTAAGTACGACCAGGGTGTCGACCTTCAAGTTCTCGTTCTCGAGTTGCCGTTTTGTACGCTCATCCAAACCGGTATGTTTAAAGCAGCTTGCTTGAACTCGAGGTGTTGGTAAATCTCCCATGATCTGGTTATTTGTGCTTTTTCGTTGAAGGAAACAGTGTTTGCACCACCACCTTTCGCACAATGTTGCGCGAATCCAGAATCCAGTACTGTTGACGAAGATGCGTGAACGTAGCATTCACTCCAGTGTGCTGGTACATAACATGAAAATGTCGAACGAGTAGCTCAGCGATTGGAGAGTTCTTTGGAATCAGAATAGCATGCTTGGCGTTGTAATTAAGAGACGGTTTCTCGTTTCGTCCACCAACAAGCATTATTTTCTCATCATCCAGAAATGGAGAAAATCGAATCAGCTGCGATTTTGCGTGGAGCTGGCGTCCATTGTCGAGCTGTGTGTACTCCTTTTGAAAGGCCTTTTGTTGAATATGCCGGAGAAGTTTGCAACGCGCTGTCAGCAGCTCCATTGAAATACTCAGTACTCAGAAGAAGGGCTTTACTTTAGACGAAGGCGGATGATGAAGCGAAAGCAATAGCTAGTTACTCTTAAAAGAAATCTTGTTGATGAGTAATTCGTCGAATCATCAGGAAAGCTATGAAGGGTGGTAGGTTTTGCTGCACGTTCCTCGGGTAGTCGTTCAGGATCTCAGCCGTTCTGTTGCAGACGTATGAGTTCCAGTGCCGTGGTGGTGGAGACAGACAGTGGAGCACTATCTCTGAATTCGTCCAGCAGCTGGTGCTGTAAATAGGAATTGCTAATGAAGTCTTGATAATAGTAAGCAATTTCCTAAGAAGAAGGTCAGCGTTTAATTCCAAGCGTGGAATCGATACGGCCCTTATGGGTGACACTCGTGTTTTGTCGGCAATGAGGGTTATATGGAACCTTTCCGCAAATGCAACTCGGCTGTAGACGACCGCCCCATACGCGTCGGCGAATCCGTGCAATTGGATTTGTTGAAATGGTGAACCAGTGTATCGAGGCACTTTACAGTGTTTTATGGATGGAAAATCCTCAACTACTGCTCTCCAGCGTGAGTTTAAGGTTTCGGGAATCGGGTCGTTCCAGTGCGTAACAGCCGTCCAACTTTCTTGAAAGATGAGTTGCCCCCACTACGCGCAGCAAGGCCTAGGGGATCATAAATCTTGGAAAGTTGCGATAACAATTCTTGCTTTGTCGGATCAGAGCAGAGGTTGAAATCAGTTGTTTTTATAAACATCGCATCGCGACATGGGTTCCATTGAATTCCAAGGATTTTAACGATTCAATCACGAATTAGCTGAGTTGTACAAGGTCATAACATCGATCCGTTTCAAGCAAAGGTTGCAGAAGGCGCCAACAGTTATAACTCCACTTCCGTAACTTGAATTTCGCTTTGTCCAAAAGGTTCGTCCTGAGAACCAATAAGTTTTCAACTTTCCTATCCAGTTGGTATATCGTCAGCATAGGCATCGTAGGACAACGCACGTGATGATGCTGGTCACTCATGGCGATGATCGTCGGCTAACTGCTTTAACGCTCTAAAAACCAGAAATGGAGAGGGTGCTAGGTCATAAGTGACGGTCAAAAGCCGAAAACGACTAATGGGCTTACTTTCATTTCATCTGAACATCTTTTCGAAATCCGCATATGGGACATATCGGTGCTGCCGGAATCTTAAAAAAACTCAGAGCTGGATTGGGGGTCCAACATGAAGTCTATCGCTTAGCGAAATTCAAGAACTATATTTTCCGGATCCATCGAAAACTATCCGACACTTGGTAGTCAGGCTATTCATCTTGATGACGGCGTGATGCGGAAGGTAAACACAGGTGTTAGGGTTTTCTTCGATTTGAGCTAATGTCAGCTGTTCCATGTGACCACGTCCAAAAACTACTCGTAATGCTGTTTGAGTTGCGGATTGTGGCGGAATTTTCGCTCCAATGAAAATAGACGATTTGTGGCCTGTGGTAGAGTTGACTCGAAAGGATACTCGACAATATACGCTCCGTCTTCAGAGCGGGTGTGTATTTTCGCAAAATGAAGACTGTGCATCTCCATAAAAGATCGGACCACCATGTCAAGATCCGCGTGATGTGTCACAGCCGGAATCTTATGGCCGTTGGATGCATTGTAAGATCATGCAATAATCCAACCAAACATTGTATTGAGTGCTTCAGGATAGCCCTTACCAAACTGTTTTCTATCGCCGGTGTATAGAGACCAAAGTTGATCTGATCCAACGATGACATCTATAGCTCCTGGGGTGCAGAATGTGGGACCTGCTAGAAGAAGCGCCGTAATTTGTTTCCACGCTTGAGATGTAGTGTCGATCGTTTGCGCTGGAAGCGATGACGTCAATGATGTCAATATGAAGGAGGCCAGTTCGATGACCTTCTCCGAATGTCGAGATCGCAGCTTAAAGTGTGCGCGTCCGCGAGTAAGATCTGCGTAGTTGGCTGCTAGGCCAAGAACTGAAATCCGTGCGTGCGTTCGAGGCACACCTATCCTCTGAACATATGATTCCGATGCCAAAGCAATGGTGGATCCCGTGTCTAGGGTACTCTCCCCGTTGCTGGGTCTTTTTAGAGGCGCTGTTGATAGGTTACGAGTGCAGACGCAGCTCGGGAGGTTGTGGGTAGTTCGTTACGGTTAACGCTTGTTTCTTCAACGTAGATTCTATTTTGAACTTGCCGGGGCGAGGCGTGGACCAGTGTGTGATGTTTGCGGTGGTACAACTGCCGACCATATGTGAGGCGCTAAGGCAATTAAAACAGCTTTGTGGTCTTCAGGATTTGCGTCGATTTGCGATGTCCAGTGCGAGGAATTGGTTGCACCTAAAAAGTGGATGATTCTGCTGGCACGATGAGTGTTCTTCTAGTCGCAGCTGATCGTCGATCTTGTGGCGCACGAACGAGTTGGCAGGCTTGTAAGGTGTCGCAATGTGACGTCAAAAATTCCAGGAATTGGTAGATGGTCACACTGGACCAAGGGTCTCGTTGTTCACATTGAATGGCCCGCAACCCACGAATTACTTCGTCTGCGCAGTCAGCCAATTTCCGCACGGTATTAATGTTACTGGTAGTGGCACTAGGTAGCGTTATAAAACTGTTCAGAAACGATCGTAAATTAATGATTGTTTGTTGTATCGTTTTTCCAATTTGTCCCAGGCTTCACTGTAATTTTCATTCGTAACGGGTAGATGTTTGATTAATGCGAGCGCATCGGCAGATAGATAGGATTTCAGATAATGCAATTTTTGGCAATCAGTGAAACTTTAATTTGTGCCGATCGATCCCAAAAACATATCAGAAAAATGTGTTCAGTCCTCATAATTTCCCGAAAAGTTTGGGAATATGATTCGCTCGAATTGAAAATCCACTCGGCTCCTATGAGAATCGTTCAGGGTTTCATCGGGAAGCAGTACAGTTTTATCAGCGCCTTTAATTCCTCAAGAGAATTACTTAGTATTGCATAAGTTGAGTAATGTTTCTCTTCGTATATATCATCCTCGGGGTTTTCCCAACCCTCTTATGCGCCCGAGTAATTTGGCTTTTGCAAAAGCCCCGCTGTTGAATCACTCTCCGCATGGCGATCAAGGCGAAGAGACGGTTCTATACGATGTAGGATTCTATAGATCACCGTTGACAAATTCAAATTTAATTAAAATGTCCCGAATGCAAACAGGTTACTGGCTATCCGGCTCGAAGGACCAATAATTTTATAGTGTATCTGTTTGGTTTGATCTTTATTTGCATTCACCGAACATTCTAAATTAAATGGGTCGATACGCGCGCTGCTCTGCGGTTGTGTTGGTAGCAAAAATGTGACTGACTGTAGTTTCGCAGAGTAATATAAGAATAGGCAAAGTCATAGAAGAATAGTCTGAATTAGTTCCTTAACATGTTACCGTTTTTGAGATGAAAAGAAAACTACTGCCTAAGACAATGCAGTTGATCAAAGCTCCTACATATAAATACGATTTAAGCTGCGCTTCATGCGCTGGTGTGAGTGTGGATATAATACAATGATAGATAACGCATTGAACTGCGCTTATAAGATAAGATAAACAAAGTAAACGTGTATTGTGTCTGGTTCCCAAACACCAAGTTTTCCAGTCGAAAATGCAATTATCAAAACTAAAAACAATACACAAATCTTACTACAATAGCAAATTCTTACAATGATTACAAATAAATATGTATGTGGTGTGGTAAATAGACAATATAAATAACAAATATCTCAACATTCTGAAATTACAAATGATAAACATTTTTCATTTATATAAATTTTTCTTATATTAAGAAAAGTTTTTTAAGTTTTTTTGCATCCAATTTTGAACCATTAATTTCTTGGAATGATAATAAAACACTGATATCCATTGCCTCAGTGCTAAGTTACGGATAATTTATCCTTTCATTTTAAAAACTGCGCATACGTTCTTTGTGGCCCACTTACAGTAGTTTTTAAAAAAATCTCCCTCCAGTGTATATTCATTTAAAGATGGAAAGTTGCTTCAGTTCGGAGTTATTTTCAAGTCTGGTGTTCAATAGGCCAATAGCAGAGCTCAGCAATGCGTCCAAAATGTTTGAATGAATTGTTGCTAGTCAGCTGGTGTTTCTTGTTGCTCACAACATTAGCCCTAACCAGATTTATGACGGTCGACTGCAACAAATCTAGTTATGCTTAATAGATTTTGTATTCGTTCATTTTTAAATCACAACCAAGTTGATACGGTCTACACATATTTTGCCAATGCAACTAATAAAGTCTGTCACGGAGCTCTATTGGACAGACTTTTATAGCATTAACTAAACTTTAACTTACACTTTAAGCTAATCTAATCTTAACTGGATCAAATCCTATTTGAAGGAAAATAGTGGTTTTTTTTCTACTTGGACCATTTCTCTTCGTTATATTTATTTATGATATAAGCCACTGCATTTAAAATTCGGGGTTTTTATTATTTGCTGATGATCTTAAAATGTTTAAGTCAATTAATTCTGGTTTGGATAGTCAGCTGCTCCAAACGACTTAAACTGAGTTGGTAATTAGTGCTCCTGAAATTTGCTGCCGCTGAACTTTTCAAAATGATTTGTTTTAACATCAAAAGGATTAATACTGTGCTGTGCTCGTATTTTATTAACACTCACTCTCTGGCCTCAATAAATTTGTTTTCGGCATTTGTTGGGGGCGATTCATATGACCTTCACCTTCTTATTCTGCTAAATGTCGTCTTTTAAATCTGTTCTCAATGCAGGATCGCAGAAAGGTAGCCGTACTTATTATACCCTTGCAGAGAGTATTATAATTTCAGTCAGAAGTTTGCAACGCAGTGAAGGAGACGTCTCCGACCCTATAAAGTATATATATTCTTGATCAGCATCACTAGGCGAGTCGATCTAGCCATGTCCGTCTGTCCGTCCGTTTATATGCAAACTAGTCTCTCCGTTTTAAAGCTATCTGCATAAAAATTTCCCAAAAGTTGTCTTTCTATTGCAGGTAGTATATAAGTCGGAACGAGCGGGATCGGACGACTATAGCATAGAGCTCTCATAGGAACAATCAGAAAAACAAAACAAAAAAAATTATAACTTTGCTGTTTTTTAATTTATTGTTTAGTTCTTCGACATATAGTAATGGTTAAATATTTTCGATTTACGGTTTAAATTTCATCAAAATCGGACGACTATAGCATATAGCTCCCATAGGAACAATCGGAAAAATAAATGAAACAAAATTATTACTCTTCTGTTTTTTAATTTTTTGTTTAGTTCTTCGACATATAGCAATGGTTAAATATTTCAGAATTATGGTTTAAATTTTATCAAAATCGGACGACTATATCATATAGCTCCCATAGAAATAATAAAAATATATAAAATTACTGTCAAATAATTGAGCTGCAAATCATCATAGCTTCAATGTTTTTAAACATATACGCAAGTAAATCATAATTTTAATGTTTTCAAAAATGTTTAATTCTTGCAATAGCTGCAAGGGTGTGTGAACTTCGGCTTGCCGAAGTTTGTTTTCTTTCTTGTTTTATCATTGATCTGCTCGGAGACAGAATCGACTCTCCACCATTGCATAGTAGATAGGTATTTAAGTGCGATGGAGCCACCCATGTGTAGAGCCATAAATTATATAATAGCCTGTCACCTAAATGGCACAAAACCCAGACGAACATTTAGATCGTATGGTAAGCCGACCTATAAAAGCCCATTCGCCTGTTTTTGAAAAATTTAACAACTATTTTTAAAATAATTATTATTTTTAATTTTGAAGATATAAATGAATGTGTTGAAAGGAACCCTTGTGGTAACCACCAACGTTGCATCAACACAAACGGTCATTTTCGCTGTGAAAGTCTTCTTCAGTGCTCGCCCGGATACAAATCAAGAGCAGACGGGAGATCATGCATAGGTACGTAACCATGTCAATTTATTATAGCCTTATACATTATAAATTATGAATTTAATAAGCCTTTTATATCCTTGTAGAGGGTATAAGAATTTTAGAAAAAAGTTTGCAACGCAGTGAAGCGCATATTCTTGATTACCATCACTAGACAATTCAATTTTGCCATGTCCGTATGTCTGTTCGTCCGTCCGTCCGTCCGTCCGTCCGTCCGTCCGTCCGTCCGTCCGTCCGTCTTGATTCAACTTTGCAAATACATATTAAGGTCCCTTAGCTGTCTCAAAACAGATTCTAGCCACACATTAAATAGATTTTTTAGCATTACATCTGATTTTAAATATGACACCTTATATTGAAAATTCGTAAGTCTATAAGTTAAGCATCCACGTGCTACCAAGCGCGGATGATATCTAAATTGTTGGAAAATGTTAGTGCTAACACATTGGACTGCTCTCTTTTGAAGCGCAAAAGATAATTTTCGTTTAAAAAAGCACAAGCACGAAACAATTCGCCTTAGGAAGCTATGCAGGTCTTAGTTATTTTCTTTATTGAATACATGTAGGTTTTGGTTGTGTTCTTAATATAAGTTAAATAATTTTTATTATTATGATTTTAGACAATTTTAATCAGATACCAATGCGAAAATGTATGTGCTTGATAGTTTATTATAAGCACTCAATCTTATTCGTTGTTATCTTTTTTCTTCATAAATACGGTCGCGACACATGACACTTCTCAAAAACTGCCGATTTCGACTCACTCGTAGATCCGAATGCTCTTCTACCAACGGCTCTTCCATTTCCATCTCTCTCTAAATCTATCCTTCGTCTGTCTTTTTTCTGTCTCCAGATCGAAGTTGCATGCCATAAGTTAGCTGATACCCTAAAGATATATCTCCAGAGATCACTTAAAATTTAGTGGGTTCGGTGCCAAGACGCCATTAAAAAGTTATAGAAACCAAAGATTGAAATACCTTTTTCTTAATTTCTTTACTTGTAGCAGGTAAAAACAATATTTTCTAATTTTTACCTTTTTGCCAAAATCCTAAAGTCAATACATGAAGCTACAAATTAATATGTGTTTTTTTTTTACGCTTCTATGAAAAAATATTTGTTTTCTCATTTTTATACTTGTTGCTCGTAGACTAAAAGGGTAAATTCTATTCGTTAAAAGTAAGTAACAGGTAGAAGGAACCTATAAAGTATATGTATTCTTGATCAGGACCAATAGCCTAGCGGATCTAGACTTCTTCGGAAACTATAAAATAAAGAGATTTGTGATTTGACACGCATATTCTAATTTTGCCAACGCAGAGCAAGTTTATTTCAAAAAACCGGAAAAATCTGTCATGTCACTCTGAAAAGAGCTTAGTTAGGCGTGTTTCATTCATATTTAACGGCAGACGTAACCATTTTCAAAATTGAGCTATTTTTTTTTTAATTTATTGGACATTATGTTTCATAACTGCTTTGAGTGAAGAGCGTACAACATTCTCCACTGACGTTTGAACGCGGAAAACAAATAGACATTAATAAAAAAAATAAAAATAAATAAAACAAAATTAAATAAAAAATATAAAACCAAAAAAAAATGTCAGTATATTTATAGTTCTACAAAATTTTGAATTTTAAAATGTTGACATCTTGTTTTTAACTTATAGATATTGATGAGTGCGAAACTGGTGAGCACAACTGTGGCGAAAGACAAATATGCCGCAATCGCAGCGGTGGCTATGTATGCACCTGTCCGATAGGTCACGAAATAAAGCGGCTAAGCACTGGTGTTAATACATGTGTGGACACCAACGAATGCGAGCTGGACCAACGTGTATGTCCATCGAATGCACACTGCTTTAATACTATAGGATCTTACTATTGTGAATGCAAAGCTGGCTTTAAAAAAAAAGCTGATAATAACAATAACACACAATGCTTTGATATCGATGAGTGCCAAGTGGTTCCGGGTCTTTGTCAACAAAAGTGTGTTAATACTTGGGGCGGGTATCGATGTACTTGTAACGCCGGATACCAACTAGGACCTGACAACCGCACATGCAATGATATAAATGAGTGTGAAGTTCACAAGGACTACAAACTATGCATGGGGTATGTATACGACAAATAGATTTGAAGCATATAATAATAAATATTATAAAATCTAAGATTCTGTATTAACACTCCCGGATCCTACCAGTGTTCTTGCCCACGTGGTTATACGTTGTCTGCCGACATGAATTCTTGCCGCGATATCGACGAATGTGCAACTGATTCCATTAATCAAGTGTGCACAGGCCGGGTAAGTATTTTATTAAACACTTTGTCGAAATGATAACGGCAACCTTCCCCAGCCGAGTCGATACAGAATGTTCATGTTACTTCGTCGGTCAGCTTCTATGCAATATACCTAACAAACCTAAAAGGCTTTAAAACAGATCAGACTTGCCAGTGAAAAGATCAGACAAAATAATCTTGATTTGTATTTTATTGATTTTGTCTTCTGAGCGCTAAAGTATACAAAAAAATAAAGCAAAATCATTTTAAAATTACTTACCTATCTAAACTAAACTAAATTTTATGTATGAAAAACTACATATTAAAACAAAAAAAAAATTGTATTTACCGTAAAACTTTGTAGCACTTTTGATTATTTTTAAGTTTCCATAATTTGAAAGCAAAATAAAATTGAGTATTTCTTAAGGAGGGATATACATGTAAACGGTTAAGATTAAGGTATTTTTCATGACTTTGTATACCCTTGCAAAGGATATTATAATTTTAGTCAGAAGCTTGCAACGCAACGCATTTCCGACCCTATAAAGTATATATATTCTTGATCAGCATTACTTGGAGAGTATATCTAGCCATGTCCGTCTGTCCGTCCGTCTATCCGATAGACTTAAACAGATAAAAACGGGTCATCAATCGGGTATTATATCAATTTTGGGCTCATTTGTGGCTATATTAAATTGGTATTTAAAAAAATCAAAATGGTTCTGTGCATACCAGACACATACATATAAACCTTAAACGTATTTTTAATACCATGATTGTATTTTTCCATATTAGGCTGATAATATTACATATAAGGCTGATATTTGTTCATATAAGGCTGATATTATTTCACATTAATTTGCAATGGCTTTCGTTTAAACTTGTTGTGTTTTTATACACAGCCGACCAATATATATCAAAGATATAAAAACTTGCAGCCACACTATTTTTTCGATTACTTTTCGAAGCCACCCACATCTAATAGCCTGATTCCATTGCCGCATTAGTTGACTTTTTAAATGTGCCTGATTCCATTGGCGCATTAGCATTTAGTAAATGCTACTCCGACATGTGAGTGGAACTAACAGCTGATCTGGGCTTGTATACTTTTGAATTTTGGCAAATCCAAAAGAAAATAATTAAAATTATTGAACATGAGTGAGTTTACTAAACTCTGTAATGCTCAGCAGGACATCCATATTGCGACCGAGACATTTGCCAACTTGGACGACAAAGAAGAGAAACTGATTGCGTTGTTATGACGGGCTTGCAATGGAGACCACCACAGTTTCTAAAAGGGCAAGGTTATTTAATGCCAAAAATCCAGCAGTAATGCATTGTGTTACTGCGAGCAGAATTTGCAGCGTGCGCTTTAGTTTTCAGTCATTTTTATACAAAATAGATTTTATATTCAAAAGACATAACAAATTGCGCCAATTTCGTATAGAGAAAACAGCTTTTGTAGTGGTGGCACGAACAAAATATCGTTCAACATCGGTAATTTCCGGTATTTTTTCTTAAAACGTTCGGGGCGAATGGTTTTTAATCGCATTTAAAAATCGCATTTATTTTAAATGCGTCATTTAGCCTTATGGGATTCCCTGTGTAAATAAATGCGCATTTGGCTAAATGCGTTTTAATGCGGCAATGGAATCAGGCTATAATATAAAATTCATATCAAATTGTAACAAAGCATATCATGGTATAAAAATATATAAAAATAAACATATTGTTATATAGTAGGAGGAAACAATAAAATAAAACATTAAAGTGTTTTATAAAAAAAAAATGAATCAGCATAAAACAGAAATTAGAGAAGGATGGGCTTATCTCCTCAAGAAAGATGATATCCCAAACGTGGGTGCCAGGCTGGGCATTACCCTGGAAGGCAGGTCGGAGGACATACGGAAACCCCTCTCCGAATACGTCATAAAAACCCAGGAAGACCCACAAATGGCTAAAATTTGGGCTGAGCTGGAAGAGACCAACGGCAAACCAGGCCCCAGTTCAAATTACTGAACTCATACGCCGATCAGCTTATAGCAAGTCTGGGCGTGGACAGTGCAGAGGAGACGGGAAGATCTTGGAGTTTAAGTCAAGACAAAAGAAAATAACAGTAAAGTCCCAGTCTACGTTAAAGTCGCAAAGCATGTACGAGAACGTTCCTTTAAATTTAAAGGCACAGAAAAGCCGCTGGAATTCCTAGAAAAAATGGATTGGTCTGCAAACACCATTGGCCTGAACATGATTCACCGAGCAATACAAGAATTGCTACATAGCAAAGCGTTATATTGGTTTATTTCCAACAATAAACACTGGAAAACATGGGCAGAGTTTTCAGCGAGAGTTTTCAACATATTTCCTACCGAGGGGATTTTTCTCAAGGCTCGCAGACCAGGTGAAGCAGTGGACTCCGCGAAGGAAACTCTCGAGGTTATCGAGGATAACTGCAGACCAGAACTGAGGACCTCCCTGGGAACGTACAAAGTTGACGATCTGGAAACACCCATGATCCTGGCCCACGAGTACTAAGAGCTCGACAAAAAGCGGGAAGCTTTTATTAAAGAGAACAAGTTTTCGCGATATATAAACGGCCAGTGGACACCACCCAGTGCAATTCAGCAGAGGCAGCAAACGAACTCCCTATGGAGGCTCCCGACCACCACGCAAAGGTCGCACACCACACAGTCCGGTGCTACCAGAGCACAAAGCCACATCCTCAAGAAGTCTGCCTACGACGTGGCGGGTACGGGCACTGGGCACGAGGGTGCTACTGTTCTGCTGGATATGCGGCAAGGCAGGTATGAGGAGCGTAGAGTGCTGACAGAGAGCGGGAAATGGCCAGCGATCCCAGCCGCAGAGAGGCGAACCGAGGTCGCAAGGTGTAGTCTCTCCAAACTAACTGGCAAATTCATCGAAGAGGAGCAGCATTATCGATTGGTGCAAACACATACAAAGCAACAATCGACACCGAAGCAACAGCAAGCCTTATTAAAATGGAGCTGGCGGGTATAATGGCTTGCGAAAAAAACTTCAAGGACGAAACTGCATGTTAGAATGTCAGATGGTAGATGGTAGCATAAACTTTCGTTGTGGCAAAAAAAAAAATGGTCAAAAGGCAGCACAAAGCCTCATCGTGGTGCTCAGGCTCACATTTATCATGGGATCCAAATCGTGTCCATGATGAACACGGGTCCCACCGATCGCCTGTAAATCTTATGTCCCATTAAAAGCAGGATGACGATCAGGATTTCGACGATGAGGCACAGCATTTCGTAGATTTTAGCAACTTCCTCTCTGTGGTCTATAACTTTCACATTGTTCACGAGTTTGGCAGTGTTAAAACTAGCATTTCTAGATTCTGTTAGGTGTCTTCCTGGAGTTTTTTATTACCTGCTTGTGCCATAGTCTCCGGTATATGTCATTGCCAATTCTGGGTGTGTCGCAACCTGTGACCCACAGTTTTTGTGATCTTTGGTTCTTGTCTACCCCGCCATACTCCGTTCCCGTAACGGAGGCCTGGAAACAAATTCTTCCAAATCCACGCCAGTGTACCAGCTTTTTCATTATGGAACTAGAGATAACACTAATGTGTAAACTGGCAGCTTCAAAGAAAAGATGAACTGAAAAAGAAATCTTACTCTTTTCTACGTCGCTTGATTTACAACTGAGACTGTGCTGGCTTACTGGTTTTGACAAGCTCTCTCAGCAACTAATGGGGCTAAAAGTTTTGCTGTTTGTGTTCCTTGAGGGCGCAGCGAATCCTAACACGGCTTTCTAGGCTTGCCACCATAGTGCCTCAATAGTTGTAACTCAAAATAAAAAAAAACACACAGCTGTATATTATGAGATTCTAAAGATACATTTGTGAGGAGTTCAATAATTCCCCACAAGTTAGAAACCAAGCAGAGTAAACGCATGCAAGCAGTGGTCTAGTAGTTACCAGTTACGCGGCGAATTCGCCCGTAGTAACGGTAGTGCGGCGAGAGAGAGTGGTACCCTGAGCACCAGACAAGGACAGGGAGAGTCAGAGAGAGAGACGGCAATAATAGAGAGCAGCGAAGGGCCGTGAGCAAAAGGAAATAACGGGACAGCACCGGACTTCGGACCCTGATATTAGTGCCGAACGAGTGGAGGGCGGAAGGTCGAACGGTAAAACCGTCGAATTTGGACCAGGAGGCAAGGAGACGCCGAGAACTAACGGTAAACAGAGGCCAAGCGCAAGAAGCTGGATCAGTCGCTTTCTACCAGTCAACAAGTATCAGTCATCAAGTGAACCAGTAATCAGTGAAACAACATGAAGAACCAAGTAGATCCACTCGAAGTCATCAAGGAAACAAGATCGCTACGTCGAGACGTTCGGGACTTAGAGCTAAAGTCTCCGAATTGAGACACAGGTAGCTGATGTCCTTACGGCATCACACGGCTAAGTCCAGGCGCTTTGTCACAACTTCTGTCGCGATTTGAACAAATAGAGTCCTTCGACGAGGAACCGTGGGCTCAGAAGGCAATTGGTCTAGAACTAGTTACCTGCAAGGACTGCATTGGCGAACTCCGACTTATGCCTGATCGTCCTGCATGTATTGTACAAGGTCCTGGCGCGACTAGCCCGGAGGGACGCGCGTTTGTTCAGCTAGTATCTCGAAGGTGTATGCGTTGAGAGCACAGCAGTTCACCGCTACAGTCCTAGAACGGCAGCTTACCGAATCGCCAGTCGAGACATCCGGAGGCAGAGCAAGGTCAACGAGGACACCCAGGACGACGAAAAACAAGCGTCGTGCGAGCACCAGACACGTATAATTCTAAAGTCTGCGGCAGAAAGGGGAGGGTGGAAACTTTCGTATAGAACCTGGCGTTTGACAGAAGAACTTCCGGCGTACGCCTGAACCGTCAGGTAGAAACTGAGCCGACGTCCGGTGCGACCGAGCGGGACAGAGCGAGGGACAGGAGGCTGCGGCTGCGAAAAGCGTACGGCTTGAGAGCACAGTGCCTGCTCACCATAGTCTGGGAACGGTGAAGTATCCCTTAACCCTGTAATCCCGCCGAGCCAGAGGCAACAGAAGGCTTCGCGAGCGAAACCGGGAGGGAGACACCACTTCGCAGCAATCACAACCCAGCGAGACGTTCAACGTGGGAAGGAGCCGACGGCGGAGCATATTTCAACATTGGCAATACAAAACCCTGGCCGAGGGTCAAGTCGGCGAATCAAAGATCCTTGCATACTCCTAATCTTTCTGTACATTTTCACTGATTAATAGGGCGGCCACGTTTATATAAATTTGGTGGGACGAACACAAGTACATCTTCTGAGCTAACCGCACGACATTCGTAGCGAGCAGATAAACCAAGAAAATCAGTTCGTTACACATTCTTGTGAACCGGATACAATCTTTAGATCCAGCAAGCCTAACTTTTGTCTAAATGAAGAAGAAAAGACTTCCCTGATTAGTTTGTGTTTATCACATCTTGCTTTCTACTCTATTAAGTTTGATCCCACGACGAAATCCCCGTCCGCATCACTTTCGGTCAGCCACTGATTTAAAGTCATTGCCGTTCAAAATGCACCCAATCATCATTCTCATCGATATCTTAACGCTTTGAGCTAGCGGCTTCTTCCATCTTCATTTCTTATAAATTCGACAATGTTAGATTTGGTTTGCAGTTTTGCAGCACCTTGACGCTCTAGACTTGATTGAAATAAAATACCTTCAGCTTGTCCCAGGGTAAGGTTTGGCCAAGCAACACAACCAATCTCCGGTAAAATTATACGGAGTGGTCACAACCATAACCTTGTCCGGAAGCCACCTAGAAGGGTAGAGGCCTTCTGACTTCTTCGCCTTTTTAATCTTTATGTATATTTACTTCGGCTTGTCGAAGTAGGCTATCTTTCTTGTTTTAATTTTTGAAATTTTTAGAATGACATTTGCACAAACACCCGTGGAAGCTATAAATGTACTACCATTAATTGCCCATATGGATACACTATTGATGCAGAACAAAAAAAGTAAGTCCAAATGTACATAATTTAAAATGTTTACGTTGAGTTTTAAAAAGAAGACTTTGAAAGGACGAAAAGTTATATATCTTAATTTACTGCACTTGTTGCTAAAGCACTATGATAAAATCGTGAAGGAACAGGGTTTCGTTAAAAATTACGATAAAACTCGGACGGGCCCATGGTTTCCTTTAACTACGATCTACTCGGACAGACCCATAAATTATATTTAACTACTGTACAACTTAATCGTTTTTCACGTTATTATCCATGGTTTGTTATAAGCTATGAATGTTCACTATTAGCAGAGGTTTGTTACCAAAAATTACAGTCGATGGCTAGAACTATGACTTATGGGCTTATGACACTAAATTGTTGACCTCATTCATTGCTCGTTTATTTTTTTAACTATACGAACGTATGACGATTTCAATGAGCAATGAATGAGGAAAATGGACAGAACCCGATAGTACAATACTAGACGAAATTGGGCAACAAAAATAACATTCGATAAAATACCACCGGACCGATACATCAATGAGCAAAATTGTATTTAAAAAGTACAATTTTGCTCATTCATTGGAGTCGACGACAAAACGGAATAAAAAAGCGAGGCTAAATGTATACGAAATATTTTTTACCATTTAAAGCTAAAAACTGAAAACCTTTAAACGTTAGAATTAGCGAGATAGACACAATATAATAAACAAAACAATAAAGTTTGAATATAACGTTAAAAAGGAAGTGTGAACGTGAACATATTACCAAAAAAAAATCTCAAGCAGTATCCATATAGTTGTCTCTGCCTCTGTGTTTCAATGAATCCGTCAATAAATGAGGCGAACAATGTAGTGTCATACCCGAATTATTATTCAATCTTTATTCACGGTTCCCTTTTTCTTGGCATTTAGTACAATGGTTTGAACATATTTCTCGCGTTACGAATTTCGTAAGTGCCTCGCTCCACCAGCAAAAAATTAGGAAGACCGTACCGTTGTTCTTACCGAATGACACCGCGTGACCTTGCTTAATTCTCCTCGAAATTTTTTCCGCACGGACTACTGCTCGATCATGACGCTCACACTGAACCCTTCGACCCTTTTTCTATACTGATCTTCACCCTCGTGGTTGCAGATTTCCGCCTATCTCACCACGCCGATCTCTCCCTCGCCTCTTTCAGTCTTAACTTCGGTCTCTCTTTTTTCCGTTCGTCAGCAACAGCGTGAAGGTTCTAAACTTCGGTTGTCTTCCCCGCTCTCACTCCCCTCGTACTTTATAAATTAAGAACTTTAAAAACTTATCTTAATTGTGTTCCTCGTTCGGGAATTAATATGACGACGTCGGAGTCTTCGCCACACATGAATAGATGTGGTTTGGTTATGGTCATCTGTCTTTTGGTGTTCACGTTTCTCTTCGCCCGATATACGCCGCCGTCGAAAAACCCGTGTAAAACGTCCATTGTGATCTGTGGTACTTTGCCCCAGTTCACGTTGTCCGTTCATAATTTAAATGATGTAGTTGTTTGGGTTATTGTAGTTTTAAATACTCTTATGTTTGGTTAAAAAATAATTACATTTTTGTAAATTGCAGCCGGTGCCGACAAAACACTAATTTCTGCGAAGGAGAAGATTGTTTCACACAACCCTCAGCCTACATATATAATTTTATAACCTTTGTATCCAAGCTAATGATATCTCCGGAGGGTCGAACAATCTTTACATTGAGGGGTCCACTTTGGTATGATAACATTGATTTTGATCTAAAAATTGTTCGCATACAAGCAACCAACAATGTTAAAAAAGCTACTGACAAGAATTTTGAGTACGTATAAATATTTAACCTAATTTTTATGAAATATAACAATTATATCATTTATAGCACCATAAAAAACAACAACCAAGTCAGTGTACTACTGAAGAAATCACTAGAAGGGCCACAGGACGTTGAATTGGAACTAAGTATGACAGTGTACACAAACGGAATGCCTCGTGGAAAAAGTGTCGCAAAACTGTTCCTTTTCGTTTCCCAACACACATTTTAGCAATAAATGCAACCATTAAAATTTGATGAATCTAATTTTTATATTAATGTTAAAGTTCTAAGTTAGCGGACAAACGTTCTCTTTATATAGACAAAAACGAGAAAATTATATTGGACTAAACCAATTTTAGCAAAATGGCGATTAGGACAACAAAAATATTATTTATATGCAAAAGGATTGGATGGGATCTTCCTAAGCCGAGCTGCCTTGGTCCCTTTCTTTCCGTTTGGCCATTCCAATTTCATTTTTGTATAAGCTAAGTTTTAAGTAGTACACTCTCCAGCTGTAGTCAGTGTTGACATGTTTAGCCTTGTTGAAATATTGTCTGTTTTGAGGTGCATGTCTGAATTTCTTTGATTTGTATACATGTTTGGTTTTCCAATCAACGCTTTAATCGTACAAAGTTTGATCATTATTGCCCGAGCAGAAGTCAAGTTACTTAAGTTAGTCTGGCCTAGGGCTACTATTCGGGAAATATGTAGGTGCGTTCTGTTGTAACTGAATTAGGTTTACGATGAACAGATCAATGAGCTGAGTGTTTTTTGTTATTATTAGCTTGAACATATATAAGTTAATTAAATTATCAATAGCTTTGATGGGGCAATGATTGATATATTCAGCTGTCATTATCATGCCTCTGAATGGGAGGATTTTCGTTGATTTCCTCGTTCCTAAAACGGGTATTTTCTAAGTTTTTTCATTGGCCCACAAAAAATGTCCACCATTTCTTACTTTTTGGTCATTTATATGAGAAAATCCTAGTTCTTGGCAACGCTTGATTTTCCCAAAGAAGTTTAGCTTTAAAAAAAGGTTACAAACCATACCCCAAGAAACATGGAGACTCGAAATATTAAGGTTACATGGAAGTCTTTAGACTCGGCAATATGTAGACTCTATAAATTCAACTCAAGCAGAGCCGTCGAAATGCCAGAATAGGTCGTCCCGTCATACAAAGTCAGAAAAGGCCAGTCTTACGACATGGAACAGCGGCGATTCAGGCCATAAAGGAGTTGACTTTATGCGACTAGCGAAGAAGAACAATTGCCAATGGGCATAGTTTTTGAAAGGCGAACGCTTTGACAGATAGCAGTTCGTTGCCTGAGTTTTGAAACGGTAACTGACTATATCCCGAACGGACAAGCTGCAAGCAGAGCGAGGGCATCGTGAGCGCAATTTATCTGGAACAGCTGGAAAAAATGGCATCTAAAATATCGCACAATGGCAAAACAGAGACTTAATAAAAAAATTGTTGTTTCGTACTAGACATTTTTTAGTGTTTTCATTTTATAGGAAATTCTTTCACGGCGCCCTCGCAGGGACGCAAGGACGATTTATTTTTTTTCATTTTTGAAAAATTTAATCCTGGGGAACTTCCATCTCAATGGCCTTAAAAACCATGTGAGAGACACTGTGAGGAGTCTTAAACTCCCCACTAATCCCGATTCAGGAGAGCTGCATAGCAACAGCGAAGTCAAGGTCAACAAGTTCAATTAGTGAACAACGAACCTTGGACCCGGGCAAAGAGCAGACACACGGCAAGGGCAACAAGGTCGAACGGTGAATTGGCGGACTTCAGACCTGCACAAAGAGGTCGCAAAGTCGAGCCGCCCAACGACTGTAAGTCTACAAGGCTGAGACTACAACCCTGAGATCCAACGGGTGCTAGGTCGTGGTCAAATCGAGCTCAGGGAGTCTTTGAGTGGAGTCTGCGATAAAGGTGGCTGGGCGAAGAGGCAGAAACTAGTTCTACCTGCTAGGCGAAAAACCTTGCCGGTCCCGACAGTTAGGTTCGCATAACATCCAGAGTCTCGGTGGAGCCGTCACGAGTCAGACACCAGCAAGCAGTCGACGACGAGGAGCGACGTCGCAGAGGACAACGACGAGGAGCAGCAGTAGCAGACTATATTTAAGGAGATGAATAAAACCTTTACGATCCCAACACAACCCGTGCGTTATCTTTGGTCAAAGGCAATCACTCAATATAAATTTGGTGGAACGATCCCACAACCTCTCTGAGTTAGCCACACCTTTACGTAGCGAGCGATATATTTAAGAAATCAGGTCGTTACAACACCAAACCACCTTAAAATCAAGCTTCAAGGACGACCACGTAGAAAAAAATATTTTAGGGGACGCATATTTGAAAAATTTTCAAGACACATAAATAAAACTTTTCCCAATTTACTTATATACAAATTTGTTAGAAGATAGAATAAAAATACAAAATTATACAAATCGGCAGTACAAATTATAATCAACTTAGGTTCTATCGATATACAACGATATGAAGTGGCTCGCAGGCAACTATCGTATTCTGCTGACAGACGACGTGGCCATATTAATCTGCATTTCCAACAATTTTCAACGCGGTTTTTCATATTTTACAGGTAATCAAAAATACATATTTCTTAACAGTACAGCAAACCCATTAAACTAATGCATTTCATACTTAATCTTGCTAAATTTTTTTTGTTATTACATATGCCATCATGTTTTCTGTTGATACATACTTTAAATCTATACACTTTTTCTTAAACATATCTCTAGCATGATGATATTTTATACCTATATGTTTGCTGCGCGCGTGAAACACAGGATTCTTTACTAGACACTGATTCATAATCGGTGGAACCTCGCCAAGACCAATTTCGCCTTATAGCTTACGAATATATAATGCTTCCTTAGCCGCTGAAGAGGTGTGACATACTTAGCTTTGGTTGTGCTGAGTGCTACCACGGGTGGCTTCTTAGACTCCCAACTAATCGCTGCTCCTGCTAACAAAAACGTAACGTAAAAACGTAATAACTTTAAAATGTACGTTATATTTCTGCTTGATTACTCAAATGAAATAGAATTTGTAAGTGTAAAAGTTTCCAATCTATGAACATTGTAATACAACAATAGTAAGTGTAACACTCCTGGACTGCTCGCTTTCAATGCTTCTCTTCGACTACCCTTGAACTCCTTATATACCTTTATCCACCTTGTGCTGTGTTGAGCTTATGGCTTCCGTTTTGGGCTACAATCCTGAACAGGGTTCAAACATCTCTTCTTTTTTTCCAGACGCAGTTTGAGACCTTCCTGTGGCACCTACGAGGTGGGCCCGGCATCAATTGGTTTGGTTGGGGATAACTCACTACTCCTTACCGGGGATTGGTCTTGCGCAGGCTGAACCGCAGCAGCGGGTTCGACCTTCTTAAGGTGACTGACGTTCCTGGTATACGTCTACCCATTTGCAGTTACCTGGGCCACATCCCCGTCTCTGCTGGCCACTTCGTTAACCGTTGGATCAAATGTTGGTGTTAGCTTGTCGGGAAAAAAATGAAATTTTTAATAAGAACACTGTCACCTACAGCTAATTTAACACATTCTGCTCTTCTAACTGCATGTGCTATCTTCTTCCCTTTTTCTTTCTGTCACAAGTACCTATCTCTTTCCTCTGAGTCCATTCTCTGATCCGAGATATATTCAATTCCGGGAAGTTTTTGTCGTATCGTTCAATTGTACATCAGCTGGGTTGAAGCTGCACCCGTTGTACTATGCGGTGTTACGTTGAACATTAAAACGAACTTTTGCAACTCCTTCTTGTTCTTACTTCATTTATGTCATTTTTAGACGTTTAACCAGCGTTTTATTCATATTTTCCACTTGGCCGTTTGCTTCTGGCCAATATGGAGGAGTCTTGAGTCACTCGATCCCGTTTATTGTGCAAAATTCTTGGAATTCCGCGCTTATTAACTGACGACCGTTGTCCGCTGACAATGTTTGGTGGAAACCTAGCCTTGAGAAATCTTCCTCGCGACCTTCTGTATTTTCAAGTCAGCCCTTGCCAATGCGTGATTGGCCAAGCCTGAATTCTTTATGGACAAGTTCAGAGGCATTGACACTTACCAGAATCACGGGTTTGCGCTGTGGAAGTGCACCCGCAACCTAAAAAGACAGCCGCTTCAAAGGTTTGCAGATGAGTTTCCACTAAGGCTGCTGGCATGGACGCGATTGACGGAAAGGTAGCAAACGGTCAGCCCAGTACAGTCATTAAGCAGCTTTGCCAACTTTTTAATGCCTCCCTAGACCTTGGTCATTTTCCAGACCCTTGGAAACGCGGTCTAGTGACAAGGGTACCAAAAAAAGGAAAAGACCCGTGCTCCCCAGATTCCTATTGGCCGATTAGTCTCCTATCTACTTTTTCCAAGACTTTTGAGCGCATCTTGCTTGCTAGGCTCTTAACTATAACTGCGTTTGATGAAGCACTTTCAGACCAACAGTTTGGCTTTCGTAGTCGCCATTTTGCTGTTGAGCAAGTGCACAGGGTAGTAAATCATGTACTGGTGCTTTAAAGGATCGAAAATACTGCTCAGCTGTCGTTCTTGATGTTCGACAGGCTTTTGACAGGGTTTGGCACGAAGGACTATTTTACAAACTAATCGTGCCCTTCTTGGATAAAAGGGGTCCCGCAAGCAAGCGTCCTTGGGTCGGACCTATATATCATCAAAAAAAATTGGGAAATCATTATCATACACACGCTTCAGGGTAGAAAGTGCTTTGGAATAATTTCCCGCAGTGACTTGAAAGGCACTAACTGTTCCTAAAGCGTCTCCAGCTTAACACGAAACTTAATGATTGAAGTTTTCTATACCGTGTAAAAATTCGTCTTTGGCAACGAAATTTTCAAAAAAAAAATTGTTAAATTCGGAGTATTTTCCGCCAAACGTTGGAAGAGCGACGATCGGCAGGCGGCTTTGAGACGGACGATTTTCCGGCGGAGCGGATTTCTGACGTAATAGGATTTCTAAACGATACTCAAGCTCAAAAGGATTCACAGATAATTTACTCTCTTTCAATAATCTCGTTGATTTTTAAGCTCTTCAATTGCTTGCCATTTCGTTTTATTGCTAACAGAGAATGATACACTGACCGATACCAAAGGGCATCGAATATTTAAGCCTGATGTTGAAAGGCACGAGAAAATTGTGAAAAACCCGGAAAAATTGTGAAAAGCGCGGGAAAATGTTCAGATAAACTTTTGCAGAGGTTTTTTGCGCGATTTCCTCAGACAACACCTTTTACAATTTGCACTTTTTTCCAGCATTTTAATAACACACTAAATTGGAGCTCACTACGACGAAAATTGGGGGAGTTAAGTTTGCACTAATTGCGTCGACGAAGAATATTTGTTTTTGATTTAATGGTCCAAAGCGATTCACATTTAATTCGAAATATATTTATGTTTACTGCAGAATTTTGATTGTTAGTAAATGCAAATTTTTATTTCTTGGTTAGAAAGCACACTATCTATCTACTATTTATTTACACGAATGCAAATTGTTGAAAGATGGACCATAACACAATCAACAAAACGCCACAGATTATATTTAACTTTTAGCAATCTATACCTGATTGGCCGATTTCACAATAGCAATCCTTTTTTAAATCCGTATTTCAGCGGCAGCAGGCAAATTAAACAATTAAAATTGCAGCGGCGACGAAGAAATGGCTTGGGCAACAACAAAACGAACGACTGAAAAGTTCCAGCGACAAATTGTATTTCGGAAGTTTAAACTTGTATTTTTTGTGTGTTTGTTTGGGAATTGTTTAGTTTTTCACCAAAAAAATGGTAAAAAAACGCGAACTCTACTGCGATTACGTCGGGGACACCATGAAAATGTTAATACTATTTTGTATTAATAATGGAACGCGAACTTGTGACTGCAGTAGGATTCGGCAGATTTAATTACGAAAATAACTTTTATAAAATTTAGCGAAAATTGCGACGAAGAAAGGGAGTGATTGCGAGGGAGTTCAAATGATCGCCAAATTTTATTCCATATAATTTCTCTTAGAACCTATCTTTCGCTAAGGGGCGATATACGGGGCGAATTCGCATAAGCGAACGAAAGCTTTATTGGCTCCAGCTCTCGCCTTACAACTAGAGAAATTCAAATAAATGCTCCAAGTACGCAAACAGGCTATATTTGTCCAAAACCTGGAAGTAAGATATAACGAATTCTAAGTTATTGTATTTAAAACGTGTTTCTCATACCCGTTTATTTCCAATATTTATTTACTTTTCTGATTATGTTAACAATTGGTTTGCACAACTTAGGTTTATTACATTTAATTTAAAAGTTAAAATGATTCAGAAAAAGATTCAATGCCCCATTCACTTTTACTGCCATTTACCGTATCTCCGCGGAGTTATTGCCTAAATCACAATCATCGACAAATTCAACGTGCGTGAATGGGAAGTGACCATTTCTCCCATTTAGTTCTCCCTCCCATTGTCCATTAATATTTGTTTTAGTGACTTTAATAATGTCACCAATTTCCAATTTCAATGCAGTCTTATCATAGGCGTTTGGAACCCTTGACTGTTTTACTCGGGCATATGCAGGCAGTTTGCGCTATTGATATATTTGAGAAGAAAAATAAAAATAATTAAAAATAATGTTTTAACTGTTTATAATTTAACACTTACATTTAAATCTGTCCTTTTAAGTGCGCTTCCAAGTAGATTGCCAGATCCCGACAGAGAGTCTGATGAAATTAGGCGTTCATTATCTAAGCCATATAAAGCATCTTCATCCATACAATCATCATGCTACAAATTAATTTTAAGAAATGGTTAAATATCCTAAAAGTAATATTCCTCTAAGATTTACTACCAGTTATGTCTAATAAACTATCAATTTTTTAAGTATTGGTTCAAGAACAAAATGTCCTTGCATTTGAAATATTCGTTTAATAATATTTTCGAAACATACAAGAGTGTCATAGGAATGATTAGCCCTTTTCTGTTGCAATTTTATTAAAAAGAAACTAAAATGACAGAGTTATCGAATAATCTGCGTATCAGCTGTATGAATAAGTGAGGGTTGTGTCCGAAATGGTATAACATCATTATACTAGACAGAAAAAAAAGTTTGAAAAGTTTTATATTTACAAAAAGCAAATAAATTAAAATAATTCAGCAATTGGCAAATAGTAATTAAAAAAGTAATTAAAAATCTTTTTACATAAAGGTCCAATAATACGCAAATTTATTACAAAACAGAGTATTTAACAAATTCTATCCAACGTTGTGACGTTTTTAAATTTGATTTGCGTACACATACAAAAAACACGATTGCAAAAGTTTAATGTCTATTGCGATCGGAAAAAACAGACGGAAATACAAACTTGGTTACGATAACCAAGAATATAAATACAATATGAAAATTAAACGATACCTAAACTACGCTTTAAACTTCTGACCAACGATCAATTTCAAAGGATTTACACAAGATGAAGTAACTTGTGCTGCTTCTATCGCTTGCTTTGCATAAATCTCCAGTTGACGTACATTACAGGAAGCCAATGGTGACCCCTTATGGTCATCCAGAAAAGTTTAAAGATTTAAAACTGGGTGTTTTGCTGGTCCAGAATTATTGTCGAACGCAAAAAAATCTTACAAAATCAATGGGATGGCCCTAATCAACCATTTGCGAACATTAAAACCCATCAATATTCATGAAAAACTTGAAAATTGGGTGACATATGTACTGAATCCAAGAGACATTGAAAGACATTTTTGCATGTACGAAATATTGCTTTAGCGACGCAAAAAAAGGTGCTGGAAAATTAATTCATTACGAAAGCTCATTTGTAAAACGAAAAACTATTTTATACCCATTACTCGTAGAGTAATAGGTATATTGTATTTGATGAAAAGTATGTAACAGGTCGAAGAAGCATTTCCGACCATATAAAGTAAGACCGTCTGTATGAACATCGAGATCTCAGAAACTATAGAAGCTAAAGATTTCGGACCCGATTCGAAAAAATATTTTAGAAGTTACAGGGTTATAAAAACCTCTGCCGCCATATACATCACGTTTTGCGCCTTAAATTAAAACTTAAACTCAACTGAAATTAAAATATCTTTAAAAATATTCTTCTACGCACCGGTTGTATATAAGGAACCGGTATTTGCCCAATTTTTCCTGATGAATTACGGGCAGTCCACCATTGATCTTCATCTTTTCGAAGAACTGTAAGAACTTCTCCTCTTTGAAATGGCAAGTCATCTTGATCCTTTAAAAACGTGAAAAAGTTAGTTAAAATTTACTTACAAAAATATAAATATTGGTATATACTTACAGTGCCAACAAAATCGAACTTTCCTATTACTTTTTCCGTCTTTTTAAATGCAGGCCGTCTTAGAGGAGTTGTATCCAAGTAATGATGTGTGTAAAAAGTCAATAGTTTTGGTAGATTATCGAACGTTTGATCCCCGATGCGGTAAACGATGTGATCCTGTTGTTGAACTTTGTTAATGATGTAGTTGCTTACTTTTGTATCTTCTCTGAATAAAAACAAAAAAGGGTTTATGTGTAAATATTTTAAAATTTTTTGTATACGCAAAACTCACTATAAATAAGATGTGAACACAAATATATGTTCTACTTAGTCAATTAAAATAAAAAATTCTATATTTTTTTGAAAAACAATTGTTGGCTGGAAATCATAATAATATTCTGCCCTAAAGTTAACAATACAGGAACACAAAATCAGGTCTTTTTTTATACTGGAATAACTTCTTTTTTTTTGCTGAAAAAAACTTAAGTTTACATATTGTTTTTTTTATTTTTGTATATTAAACTGTACTCTTTTCCCCATTTCAAAAAAGTCATGGTAACCTCTACCAGTTCTTATAAAACTTATACATGTTCTGACTAGAAATTTTACTTTATTTCATTTTGTTGAGCTATAAATTTTTAATGATCATTTTAAAAATACATGGATGTTTCTCAGCGTATTTTTTATTGATTATCAAATGTAACGATTCCTTTATTAACACCACATATCTCAAACCATGTCCGTTTTAATGCAGTCAAGCTTGGTGTCATAATCAGAAATCTTAATTTATTTTGTTATAAAAAAATATTAATTGTTAGCCGGCTCAAGGTCAGGACGTTGAAAAAAACACAAAATTATTTCAATTTTGGTAATTCGGCAACCGTCTTCAGGACAACTATAAAGTAATAACAACGATTTTAATTTTTTTAATATTTTTAACAAACAGAAAACAATTTACATTTGACCTAGATTTAATTTACACGTCTGCGTCCGGTGACGTGGAGTTGTTAACAAATTTTTCTTTCCCTAGTGAGTGTCTATATAAATGAGCGCAATTGTCAGTGTCCGTTTTGTAGTTCATCCGTATGTCTGTAGGTGTTTTTATGATATGTAGCATTTCTATGGTGAATCGTTTGGCATAGTGTTGTTCTTGTGATAAAATACTCGCCTCTTCGAAGTTTGGTGAGTGATTACTCTTGGCACAGTGGGACATGAGTGCTTTTTTTGTGCGTTCGTATGATGTCTAGCTTTGAAGTCCGATTTATGTTGTGCTAGTCTAGTTTTTAGTTTAGATTTTGTTGTTCCTATATATATCATGTTGCATGTTTCGTTGTTGTTGCCGTTGCACGGTATTTTATATATTACGTCTTTTTTGTCAATTTCATTTATCTTTGATTTTGTTCTGTTGTATATAGATTTTAATGTGTGAACCGGTTTATGTGCGATACTTATGTTTTCTTTGTCGTAGCATTCCGATTTCGCTACACGTTCGGATTATGCCGAGACGTATGTAATTGACATATATTTTTTGATTTTATTGTTTTTAACGCTGTTTTGTTTTCTTGTTTTGTGTTCCGATAATAATGTTTTTATTATGTGTTTTGGGAAATCATTGTCTGTCAACATTGATTTTGTCTCCTGGGTCGTCTCTTCGTGGTAACCCGTGTCTGAAATTTTGAGCATTCTATGTATATAGCTTCTAGCTGTATTTATTATCATTTGTTTTGGGTGTATGGAGTTGAAATTGATGATTCGTCCGGACGCAATTGGTTTCTTGTACCATTTTAATTTTAATCGATTTCCACGTCTAATTATCACTGAGTCCAAATAAGGTAATTGGTCGTTTTCTTCTAGTTCCATTGTAAATTTTATATTATAGGTGAAAGAGTTGAGCATGGTCAGTGTAGTTTTAATGTCATCCTCTTGAATGATTGCGAACAGGTCATCTACGTATTTTGTCAGTAATCTTGGAGGTCGTCTTAATTTTTCTAACGTGTTGTCCAGGAGAGTTTCCATTACAATATCTGCAATGACCGGCTGGGCTGGCGATTCCATAGACATTTCTTTTAATTGTGTGTACAAATTGTTTCAAATTTGAAATATCTGCTTTCTTGAGTACAAATTTTTTTTTTTTTTATTATGTCCATAAATATTGTTTGTGGTATTTTACTGTGTTTTTGTATTATTGTCCATTTGTTTTTAATTATATCCAGGGCTAGATCTGTCGGTATACTCGGAAATAATGAAATTACGTCAAATGAAATTAATCTTTCATTGTCGCCAATATATGTGTTGTTGATTTTGTCTTTTAATATGTGACGCTCAGGAGCGCACAAAGTAGATATAATAACATAAGCAGTAGCTATAGATAGTCGTTAAGTAGGCAAGAAGCCGAAATAGTTATAAGTTCAATACCGTACAAAGGCAAGAAGCCGAAATAATTATAAGTTCAAAGGCAAGAAGCCGAAATAAATTTAAGTTAAATGGAAATATTCAAATTTAAATATCCGGGCGGGCGCGCCAAACAAAGGAAACGGTCACACTGACCAATAGCCACCACAAGCCACACGCGGTATGGCCATGGCTATAGGATTATGAAACTACAGGCGCCGGGGCCCATACAGATGACTCTGCGGCCGACGGCGATCGGAGAAGGTAAGGCTTACCCTTTGGAGTGAGCAAACTTCTCTGGGAGTTAACTGCGGAGTCTTTTTTCGGGATAGGGTCTCGTACCCCGTCCACCCAATACATTGTAGTTAGTTGTTTCCCCCTTCTTCCAACCCCCCTAAGGACCGGCCGTCATCAGTGATATCCGACCTTTGGGATCCCACACCCCAAGACCGACCGTCATTAGTGACACCCGATCTTCTGGGGACTCCACCACTCGGTTCTCCGAGGCGCTCCTCGGCCGTCTGCCGAACCGATCCCACCTGGTTCTCACCCGGGTTGCGTTGGTCTGCAACGCGCCCTGACCACCACTCGGTTCTCCGAGGCGCTACTCGGCCGTCTGCCGAACCGATCCCACCTGGTTCTCACCCGAGTTGCGTCGGTCCGCAACGCGCCCTGACCACCACTCGGTTCTCCGAGGCCCACAGCCGGCCCTGCGCGCCCGGAACTAGGACCGATCAGATCGGCGAGGCCGACCCCTCGTGGTCGCAACACTTCTCGTTCCCTGGTAGACCCAAGCGGCCTCCATTCTCTTTTCGGAACTGGCAGACCCAAGCGGCTCCACCCTCTTCTCGAAACTGGCAGACCCAAGCGGCCTCCAAACTGTCTCATCCTCCTAGACATAAGCATAGCCAAGAGGGACGTGGCTGTTTTTCTTTCTCATCCACAGCGCCGCCGCCGCCACCGCCGCCGCCACCGCCGCCGCCACCGGGACGAAGACGCCGAACGACGACACGGAAGACCCCGGCAACCTACGGGCGGACGAGCCCCCTGCAGCACGAACTTTATATATACTATGTAACCAATAATTCTTAATAAACGCATACCGATTCGATTTCACTGAACCCGTTTACGTGTCATACTCTGGGAACCGGGTCGACCTCTTACAGCAACCACTCCTGACATAAATAAATGTTGGAACGAGCCCCTGGACACCGTTGAGCCACCTCAGCAAAGCAGGATCGTTACATGGCGCCCGAGCAGGTTAAAGTGGTTGCAAAGAGAAAGACAGAGTTATGTCGACGTGGGTGTACCTAGCAACTAAGGCGGATCTGATCAAGTACGCAAGAGAGTTCGGATTAGACACAACAGGAAAAGTGGAGGAGATAAGACAGATACTGTCAGCATTCGCAAAGAACCCAAACCACACGGAGACGATCATGCAAAGACTAGGAGTACTAGCAGAGAAGCACAAGAAGGAAAAAGGAGCAACGGATCAGAACAGCACACCAGCGGAGGAACTCAACACAATGGCGAACCAGATCGACATACGGGTCAAACAAACCAACACCCCACCACGGCGGGAATCGGAAACTCCAGACATACCGGACAGAAAGGAACAAAAGGTAGAGGTGGAAATCCTAGACCGAGTAAGGAGTTGGGGGATCCGCTACCAAGGAGCAACCAATCCCTTGGAATTCATCAGCAAGATGGAGGAATGGGCCAAAGGCTACGGCATACACAAAGATGCCCTGATCCAGACGATGCCATTCATCCTAGAAGGAGTAGCAGTGGACTGGTGGAACACCACACCGAGCCAGATAAGGACATGGGAGGACCTCAGGGAAGAACTGTTAGAATACTTTTTGCCACCAAGATATCAGGAACAGTTGGAAACACAAATCACTCAACTGCGGCAGCGAGAAACAGAACGAACAAGGGAATACGCAATGAACCTGAGGAAACTAATGAGATTTACAGAGTATTCAGAAGAGACAAAGCTGGACCGGATATACAGAAACTGCAGAAGTAAAATAAAGCTCTACACGAGACGGTCGGGATTTAAAACATTAACAGAATTCCTGAGGTTGGCAGAAGAAGTGGAAGAAATAGAAACTATGGAAGGAGCCAACAGACCAATAACAACAGGAAACCAGAACTTGACGTCCGAAATCTGCATAAGATGCGGAGGAACAGGGCACGCCGCAAGAACCTGCACAAACCCCCCAAGACAGTTTTGCTGGGTATGCGGCAGAAATGGAACAAGAACAACGGAATGTTGCCGAGCTGGAGCGGGAAACGCCAGAGGCCTGAGCAGGTAACGCTGGTAGCTCAGGACCAAAAACACATACCAGCGACAGGTGAACAAATAAGTTGTGACGGATTCCAAATATTTGCCACGGTAAAAATCGGACCAGTAAAAACAAAAGGAACAGTGGACACAGGAGCTTCACGGAGTGTGATCAGCAAGAGAAGAAACAACGAATTGAGAAAATATGGAAAATGGAGGAAGGGAAGGACAGAAATAACATTAGCGAACGGATCAAAGCAAAGATCGGATGGAGACTTTACAACCAACATACAGTTCGCAGGAGAAGAATTCGAGTTGGACTTCCTCATCTTAAATCAGGTGACAGGAGGAATATTATTAGGAATAGACTTTCTGGCCAAAACGCGCACAAGAATCCAATGCGGCAACCTGGAATTAGATATCACCGAGGCAGAGACAACACAAGGAGAAATAGAAGCCGAGCAGAGCACAGACGATACGGAGCCGACGGAGGAGGAAATCAGCAAATTTCTGGAACAACAAAGAAAACAACAACATGAACAAATTCG